CCATTAATGTGTTTCTAGTTAAAATATTGATTTTTTTTTTTTTTATTGATATTTTTTTTTGGTAGATTGGCTTATGGGGTGATTTTGAAGGAGTAATTAAGTTAATCTTCTCATAAGTGGATGTAATATGTAGAGATGCCATCTCGGCCGTTTTTCCTCATTTTGTTTTTTTTTAAAGTCTATATTTTGCTGTGAAAAAGCAGCTGTGACCAAGCTATCACGAGATGAGTAGCATTGTAAACATAATTAATAGCAATATTCTTCAGTTTGTCTGTGTGTTTTTGTATGCAAGTGGGTCTGCTGCGGTCTGCTGACGGTCCAAAATGGCGGCGGTAGGACGAAACCATGGGCGAGTCTGTTGCTATGGGGTGTTCTATTGAGCTTCGCCTTTTGGTATCCATGCTCTTTGGTTACACTTCCTGGGTCAGGTGATCAACAAAGATGGCGTGCGACCTGACCCAGTTAAAGTGTCAGCAATCAATAAGCTCACCCCGCCTGAAAATGTCCAAGAGCTAAGGAGAGCCCTTGGAATGATAAACTACCTGTGGAAATATATTCCTGACCTCGCCACAGTTGGTCAACCACTGTATGAACTGTTAAGATCAAAATCAGTTTGGATGTGGGGTCCCGTGCAGCAGGCAGCCTTCGATAAAATCAAAGCGCTTCTCACAACGTCACCTACCTTAGTGTATTATGTTATGCTAACAGGAGCACAGTGGTCTCAGCTGATACTAGCAGCTATGGGATTGGGGGCATGCTGTTGCAGCTCCATGGTGAAGATTGGAGACCAGTCTGTTCGAGGCGACTGAGTGATGCTGAGACAAGGTACGCTCAAATAGAAAAAGAGTGCCTGGCATCTGTGTGGGCATGTGAGAGATTTAAGAAATACCTTTATGGCCTGCCTGCATTCAAACTGATCACTGACCACAAACCATTCATTCCACTAATTAACTCCTGAGACCTTGATAACACACCAGTCCGCTGCCAGAGACTCCTCATACGGCTGATGAGGTTCAACCTGGAGGCTGAATACGCTCCGGGGAAAACACTTGTTGTGGCGGACATGCCATACAGGAGCCCGTGGATGGCATCTGAGCATAGACAGCCACTGATGAACAACTCCAAGAGGTAATCAGGTACATTAGGAATGGCTAGCCTGAACACATAACACACACACAGAGCTGTGTAAGAGAGTATTTTCCTGTGAGAAATGAACTATCTGTGCATGATGGGTTGGTACTCAGAGGGAGCAGGATAGTGATACCTGGGTCCATGAGGTCAGAAATGCTAGAACGAATACATGATGGTCATCAAGGGCTTAACAAATTCAGAATGAGAGCAGACACTTCAGTGTGGTGGCCTGGTATCGCTTCACAAATCACACACAAAGTGGAGAACTGCATGTACGGGAGCATAGGAGAGCACAGAACAAGGAGCCTCCCCTGTCAACACCTCTCCCAGACAGGCTGTGGAAGAAAATTGACATAGATCTATGTGAAGATGACAAAGAAAACTTTCTTGTCATAGCAGACTACATCTCCAGATACCTGGAGATACTCCACATGCCAACCACAGGTAACTGCACTGTAACTGTAAGTGCACAGGTAACTTTAAAGCTTAAAGCTACATTTGCCTGGTATGGAATACCGGAAGAGGTTGTCAGTGATAATGGGCCGCAGTTCAGCAGTGATGCTTTCAGAGACTTTGCCTGTGAGATGGACTTTAAGCATGTGACCTCTAGCCCCCACAACCCACAGGGCAATGGATATGCTGAACCTGTAGTACAAACAGCCAAGAGAATACTGAGACAAAAAGATCCTCTACTGGCCCTTATGCTTTACAGATCCTCACCACACAGCAGCACTGGTGTCAGTCCGGCTGAACTGTTTTCACAGAATTCACAAACTGTCAGACAGCTATATGCTACTCATCTGAGGAAGCAAATAGCCCTGGCAGATGTCAAGCTCCAGTGTGAGAAGAGGAAGCTGCAGGACATGGAGCTTGATAAATTAAAAGAAAAACCTTAAGGAAATTGGACTTAGAAATTAAGAAACTAGAGAAAGAAGTAAGTGATTTTAATGCACATTGTAAGCATGAAGCAATGTATTAATCAATGTTATTTCTCTCTTTCTCTCCCCAGCTCCAATCAGACAGTGACTGATCACATTATTTCTCATTTAATAACTGCTACACTTTTATAGCTCGTTTTTAGTTAAAATAGCTGCCTTTATAACGTGTTTTGTTAAAATAGCTGCCTTTATAAGGTGTTGTTAAAATAGCTGCCTTTATAAGGTGTTTTGTTAAAATAACTGCCTTTTAATGAGTTTTTTTTGTTGTTGTTGTTAAAATAGCTGCCTTTTATAGCAGGGTTTTTGTTAAAATAGCTGCTTTTTTTGCAGTTCTTATTAAATAGCTGCTCATAGCAGGGTTGTTCAAAAAAGCTCCTTTTTGCAGTTTCATTAAATAGCTGCTTATAGCAGGAATGTATTCATGTTTTGATTTTTTAAAAAGTATAAATCGCTTAAGATAAAAGCAAGTAATCTGAGGAAGCAGATAGCACTGGCAGATGTCAAGCTCCAGTGTGAAAAGAGAAAGCTGCAGGACGTGGAGCTTGACAGACAAAAGAAAGACCTTAAGGAAACTGGACTTGGAAATTAATAAACTAGAGAAAGAAGTAAGTGACTTTAATGCACATTGTAAGCATGACTGTGATGCAATGTATTAATCAATATTATTTCTCTCTTTCTCTCCACAGCTCAAAGCAGACAGTGACTGATTTTAGTATTTTTCATTTAAATAAAATGAGGTCACAGAATATTGTGGTTTCATCTTCATGTTTTCATTCATTAATGTAAAGTACACTGGAGTTATTGGTCCAGTTAACTGGGAATATAATTTGGGAAGGTCATACAATTATGACACCTAACCACTAATTGTGTTAATGCCAAATACACCTACCTGTATGTTTATTCCAACAATTAATCCTTATATTGGTAAGGATATGTGCATGTCAATGTATGCTTGGGCAATGACAAAAAGAATGTTTTAAATGTTAAATTTTTTATTATTGTAGGCTTAATGTATTTTGTTCAAAAATGAGGCAAATACGTACATAAGAACATGAAATGACGGTAAAACACATTGATTTCCGATCGCAGTGACAGCTGACTGGACAGATAAGGCACCAGGCTAAACTAAGCCTGGTTGTTAGCCTGGTCAGGACCAGGCTAAGTGCACAGAATAAATCTCCATGGCAACATATGTGCCTCTGCTTTCGAACAACCGAATCAACGCTAAATTAAACCAGGATAACCAACATATCCCGGCTCAATCCCTTATCTAGGTTTCGCACAACAGGCCACTGATACTCAGGCAAGCCCAGACTATAGCTCTCCTGGTCCAAAGGACACCCCTGATGGACTGTCTCAAACTAGGTCTGGTAAAGTTGTTAAACCTGTTCAGAGACTTGATCTGTGAAGGACATTATGGTCAAGCTGTTAAAATAAACAACCAAACAAACAAAAGAGGTTTAACTGTTTAGTGAAATAAGTTAATTATTATCTGTTTGATAAATGAATAACAAATAACTTTGTGTTTTGTTTTTTTTCTTGGAAAAAAGAGGAGTTTTGTTTAAGAATACAAAATTATATATGGTTGTTTTGAAGGGAAATACTATACAGAGTTGTTTGATGATAAGACACTCTATGGTTGGTGAATATCTGTTTGTAGACCACAATGAGAAGCTGCTGTTATTCACAATTCATGATCTATGTTTCTAAGCATCAGCATGGATGCTGTTTAAAAGGGGGAGATGCCAGAGAATATGTTTTACGACATGCGTTGCGACAGTTACGGCAGTTTTTGATAGTTGCATGTTTTTGACGGCAGTTCGTGTGTGTGGGGAGATCTGTTAAGAGAGTATGGTGTCAATAAAGAGTCAAAGTGCTGAAACTACAAGAACTCTCTTTACTTTAAAATAAACCAACACGTTTATTAGCCTACACAAACGAAGACTGTGTGGCAGTAAACTACCATGGTAACAAAAAAAGCTGGAATGATTTAGAATGTTTTACTGAAAACTTCTGGATCTGTGAAAAGAAAATGACTCTGTAAATCTGGACAAAACCAAACTGGTGTTGTTACATCATTTTCAACTGTGATTTGTAAAAATGTTTAAGACACAAACATGTTTTGATCTTTAATTTAAAGGACTTGTTGCACTTTTCAGTGTGAAATGTGTAGGCCTACATATATTTTCAGTGTGTCTGTACATGTTTCCTTGGTTTCTGTTGTGTCTTCTCACAGTCCAAACAGACCCCAGGTTAAAATCAACAAGGGTTTTGGGTTTTTGCTCGTGCTTGCTATCTTTGAATCCCTCTTGTATTATCTGGTGATACAGATGCAGTTTTTGTTTTCCTTTGGGCCTTAATATGGTTGTGTTTGTGGGTTTTTGTGTTGTTCTTGTTTGTCTTTTTTTGCATTTCACATGTTTTTTTTTTAAAGTAGCATTTATTGCTCAAAGAGTGCCATGTAAATGATAGTATGATATTGTTGTTTTACCATTGTTGTTTTCTTCTTTTCACTTTAAATCTTATTTCCCTGTGTTAGAACAACAGCTTCAAAAGTTGGTGTTCTCAGAATTCAGAATAACCTGGTTAAAACTTCTTGATTAAGAATATGCCATTTAGTAGCTACTGATACAAATTAGAGGCACTTTTGTTTTTTAAGATACGCTTGTATGAAACTGAGAAAAGATCTGATTGATAAAATTTCTAAATATAGGAGGAAGTTTATTTTTGTGGCCACTTTTCTACTTTCTCACCTCTGTAGAAAGAAAAACATGATGTCAATGAAATAAGTGTGGGGAAAAAAAACATTTACTCTTAAATCAGGAAGTACATGAGTGCTTTGCAGTTTAAGCAGCGTACAATAGAAGAAGCAGATCACAGAAACCATCAGTAAGACATCCATCACACTCTGAGTGAAATATGGCCGTCTATGAAAATGCATCAGAGATCACTGTGGAGATGATGAACCTCTCTGATGCTTCAGCCAGGACTGCTGCCTCCAAAAGTCACAGTGATGAAGATGGTACCACAGTGCCTGGTGAGACAGAATTGCTATCAATGTTTGGCTGTTTGAAACATCAAAGTAACATCACAAGGTCACACAGGGTATACTGTCATTTAGAGATTTAAGAAAATATCATCCAGAGAATCTGTGTTTGTAGGTTAAGTGTAGAAGTGGAAACGTCCTTTTAGTTTCCTGGTCTCTTATTTATTTATATTTATCAACTCTGTGACCATTTAAACATTGTTGTATTTTCATTTATTTTGTATGAATGTCATGTTTACCTTTTGACGGACAGTTTACCCATTTCAAAGATGATATTTAATACTAGAATTTCGATCACATGGCTGTGACATTATACCAACGAAACCTGTTTGATGTCTGACAGAAAGTCAAAAAAGAGTCTGACAACCAGCAGTCGTCCCTTTTTATTCTTCTCGCCTTATTGTGATAGTTGTATATGGTTAGTGTTTCAAGTCCTGCCAGAACGGTGCTTTGGTATTCTTATTATTATTTAGGCTTCAAGGACTTTGAGTGAAGGAAATAGAACACAGTCAAGAAAACTGTTAATCAGGCAAAGCACTGAGTGTGTGTGTGTGTGTGCGTGCGTGCGTGCGTGCGTGTGTTTGTGTGTGTTTTCCATACACAGGAGGAAAACTGCTCAGACGTGTTGCCGTGAGCTTTTGTCTCCTGTGTGTCCTACAAGCTGCTCTAAACATTTCCCTCCGTCTTGCTCTCTGTGAGTTTTATTAAATTATTACATCATATATTAATTAATAAGAATTAATTTTCTAACAGCAGAGTTGAAGTTTGTCACTACAGGCGTTGCCATTTCCTGTGTGATACCATGGTTGTGTGGTTTGTCGCTGTATGACAGAATTGTTTTGTTTAACAGATACATTTAACTTATAAAAATACCTACAGCTTTATGGAAAGATTCATGTTATATGGAAATTCTGTGTTAAAGTGAATTGTCTCTTTAGTTGTGAACATAATCTGATTCTGTTGCAAATGATGTTAGCCCCTCCACCAGGGATTGATGCCAATATTAAAAATCTGACTGAGGAGAGAGACGAGTTGAGGAGCATCAACCTTCGTAAGTACGATGATGAAACTACTTCAGTAATTTGGATTTAATGGATCCAATACTGTGCATATAATACAGTGTTACAAGTGTTACATGCCATCAGAATAATCCCAGTTAAATCTTCTCCCAAGAGGACTGTTATGATGATCCACTGTTATAAATTACACCTGTAAGTTATTGTTGGACATCTCACTCTAAAACCATGGGTATGAATATGCTGCTCTAACAGCCTCCATAGGGAAATTTGGAAACTGGCTGAAGAGATTTTCTTCAATTCAGTGAGAAGATTAACTGAATGAGTAAATACTGGTTTAGTAGGTGGTCAAAAAGACCGCTCCAAATCAATGCTTACTTACACAGGAGCATTCAAAACATTTAAAGGCTACAGGAAAGAAAGAAGAAAGCTCACATCATACTAGAAGAGAGGATGGGCCTTTCTATGGTTGAATTCATGATTTATTATCATGCAGTGTTTTCAACAGGTAAACCTTCCTGAAGTCTAGTGTACATTAGGTGACAGTTTGCGTCTCTGGTCTGTAGCTGTCTGAGAGAATAGTTCTTTAAATGCTGTAGTTAGTAACTTAAAAAAAATACATTGTGTAATATTTGCTGAAACTGTCACTTATCCACAGTGTTACATAAGACAGATAGTCTGTAAATAATATCAATGCTCTCTGCTTCCTCATATTGCTTCTAATGGCAGTACCACACAGTATCATGAAAACAACCAATCAGAATTGAAGGGCCTCTAACGCAGCTGTCAATCATGGCTGTTGAGCTGCTGTCAAACTTTCCAACTAGGCAGCGCAGATCAAATGTGAATCAAGATTCTGTCACTGCATTGTCTCATTTTCACATCAGATGTTTTCAGAAACATATTTTAGTGTGCTGTTTAGCTGTAAAATGAGAAAGATAGTTTGTGACCTGGCTGCTATGTTGGAAATAGCCAAGTCAAAAACAAAGCACAGCCCAGGAGCTGGAGCAAATTTTCCATTTTACAGCTAAACACTGAAGCACAAAAACTTCAGAAAACATCTGTGGCAAGAAATAGGCAATGCGGTGACAAAAACGTGGTTCATATTTTATCAGCGCTGTCTGAACCTGATTAGATCATGTGTCTTATCTACTTCTGTGTGGACGCAGTTACATTTTCAGTGAATATGACAATAAGTTATTTTTACTAAAGTTACAAACTGTAGCTTTAATGACTAACTGTCATTAATAGATCAGTTTAATGTGGACATTCTGTTTGAAAGTAAACTTTCTCTTTAGTTGTGAACATTCTGGTGTAAGTGACGATAACCTCTCCACTAGGTATTGAGGAGAATTATAAAACCCTGACTGAAGAGAGAGATGAGCTGAAGAGGAAGCTGAGTAACTTTGGTGAGTGTCATAAGGAAACAAAAAAATAGTCACATGCTTTTACAGAGTATGTGGTCAGGCCTCAGAATGTTCTAAATAATGTGTTTCCAATACGTTCGAGACAAGCTTTCATCAGCTTGTGACTAAAATTGTTTTGTTTTCAGCAGGTAAATGTGCACACGTGCATTCAAAGTAGTTTTTCAACGTATTTTGTTTGTTTATTGAATAATAAGAAATGTCTGTTCTTTCCTCTAACAACAGATCATTATTTGAACCAAGGATGGGTGTATTTCAGTGGTAGTTTCTACTATATTTCTTCAATCGAGAAAACCTGGCAAGACAGCAGAGATGACTGCGTGCAAAGAGGTGCAGACCTAATGATTATCAACAGCGAAGAGGAACAGGTGTGTGTGTGGTGTGTGTGTGTGTGTGTGTGTGTGTGTGTGTGTGTGCGTGCGTGCGTGCGTGTGTGCGTGTGCGTGTGCGCGCACTTACATGCATGAGACATTGTTTAAATATGAATTTACTATTGTGTGTTTCTCTTGTAAAACAAGAATTTCACAAGACAATACCAAAAGATAATGTGGATTGGACTGACTGACAGAGAGACAGAGGGGGTATGGAAATGGGTGGATGGCACTCTAGTGACAACAAGGTACACACATTACTCTTTTATTTATGTTCAAGCACAATAGTACCTGGGTAGACCCTGGAGTTTTAAGAGATTATGATTTCACTGTCAACAAAACTTAATATTTAATTGTTGTATTAACTTTAACTTGTCCACATTCTGTGTGTTGCTGTTCATGAAATGCTTGTGTTTTGTGTTAAAAGCATATTTGTGTTTACTTTCAGCTTCTGGAGATCTGGGGAACCCAACAATAATGACGGAAATGAAGACTGTGTAGAAACAAATGACAGTGATCACCGAAAAATGTGGAATGATGCAACATGTGAAACAAAGAAATTCTGGATATGCGAAAACAAAATGGCTGTATAACTCAGAGCATAACCAAACCCTTATGATGTTGTCTCAACATAAAACAGATTTATATTCCACTGTGATTTAAAAAAAAACAAAAAAACTGAAGGCACAAACAAATGACATCGTCCCACACAGGCGGGTGTCAGATTAGAAAATGCTTCTTTGTGTACAAACAACATATTGTGTTCTTTAATTTCAGGGGCTGATGTGCCTTTCAGTGTGAGATTTGTACATATATTTTTAATGTGTCTGTATTTGTTTCTTTGAGTGCTATTGTGTCCAGATAGACTCCATCAGGTGATTGTGTTTTTGCTCATGCTTGCTATCTTTTAAACCCCCTTGTTTTATCTGGAGATACAGATGCATTTTTATTTCTTTGGGTCTAAATGTTGTTGGATTTACTACTTTGATGTTGGACTGTCTTGCTTCTGCATTTCATTTATTTCTTTAAAGGTACTTTGCATTTGATGCTAGAAAAGTTCTGTGTAAATAAATGTATGAAATTATTGCTGTTTGGTTCTTCTTTACACTTTATGTGCATACATTTTATTTCCCTGAATTAAAACAACAGCTTCAATTCACCTTGATGTTCTCATGGTTCAGAATAACCCCATCAGTTATTGTGGATCCTAAATGATATTGACAAATTTCACCAGAACACTTTTTTTATGAAGAGAAATTAAATACATACATATATTATAATCATAACCTGGCTGCAATTCTCCCACAACAGAAGAGAATATTTTATTTTTTTATACACTCAACAAGCAAGTTTTCTAACAAAATACTGACATACAAAGACGTAGACCATTTTTTTATTGAGATATGAAAATATGTTTTAATCCATTACCCCCAAAAAATTAAAGTTATGTAGAGAAACCTCGTATACTGAGTCCAGTGTATTTTATGATTCTATTCACAGCAAAATTCATAATACGAGACAAAATGGAAAGGCACCTTTGTTCCCTTGGCACTACACTGTTTTGATGTCTTCCAGTAAGGTTTCTGACCACACAGCACTCAGACTGTTCTTGTTAAGGTCTTCAGTGACATCCACATAAACACAGACAGTGGCATAATTTTATTTACAGTATTACTGGATCTCAGTGCTGCATTTGATACGGCTGACCACCAATGTTCCCTCTAATTTTGAAAACTCCTGAGCAGACATTCAGCTCCTCTGATCACCTACTTGAGTGACTGTGTGCGACATCTGACGGGTACACACACTGCATCCACATAGCGGAACCATGGCATCACCTCTCCAACCCCAAATATCATTACAAGTGAATATTACTATAAAGATTAATAATAAGATTATTTTAACAACATGAACTACTGAATATCTACTACTGAAAATGTGCTCCATAAAAGTCACTTGGAGACAATACACAAACATTTAAGAGTTATGGCAACACAAAGAGCAAACAACTCTTTGGAATACAAAATAAGTAACACTCTTTAATAGTAATTGCCAACTACTCTAGGCCTCTAAACTGCAACAAATGTAATATGCTAGATCAAAAACTAAATGTAAACTTAAATTGTAGTTGTACTACTAAATACAGTGCCACTGTACTGGATGAAAACATTTTCCTGGCAAAAAATATTAGTGGCCAGGCAGCGCAATGAGTGCATGTAAACATACATTGTAAACAAAAATTGTAGGAGCGCTACTACTACATACAGTGCTGTACTGGATGAAGTTTTTACTGGTAAAAACATATTGCTGGCCTGGACAGGTAGTGCAGAAAAATATCAGAATATGTTTATGTTGTGTTTGTGTGCATACATATTCTGTGTGTGTGTATGTGTAAACTCGCCTTGTACTTTTGCTTCACGTCTTGCACATCTCGCAAACAACTCCATTCTCGCTTGAAAAAGAAAAAATATCGCAGCGTTTCACCGATGGCGTTCGCTCGTCTGTTTGTATATACTCCAACAGACACTCCACCTTAAACGACACGTTTTTTCTTTAGATTTCCAGAGGACGAAGCGCCACAGCCCACACATTTAGCCATAGCTACGATGCTATGGCTAACGGCTAATAACAAATACGACAGCAGCGAATACCCAGCATAATGCCATTCATTGGCTGTCATGCTGAACAACTGTTGCAGGTATTGGCTGGGCAGCGCCTGGTGGGTGTGTTTTTTTAATCATCACTGACTGACAGTTCACTCTCATCTGTCATTCATTGCACAGACAAACACCCACAGTGGAGTACGTATTTACTGTTCAAGTCACAAGACAGCGCATATTAGAAAAAATAAATAAAAATAAAAAACAGTAGAAGCTGGTCAGGGATATTTGAGCACACAACTTTTTTGTTGCTCCTGGGGGATCCTGAAGTGTCAGCAGGGCCAGATAAGGTATAATCCCTCCAGCATGTTCTGGGTCTACCCCAGGGCCTCCTACCAGTTCGACCTGCAGGAGACATCCATGAGACATCCTGTTTGATGGCCAAACCACCTCAACTGGCTCCTTTTGACACAAAGGAGCAGCGGCTCTATGCTGAGCTCCCCTACGGATGTCTGAGCTCCTCACCCTATCTCTGAGGCTGAGCCTCAGGAAGCTCATTTCTGCTGCTTGAATCTGCAATCTCATTCTTTCTGTAACTACCCAAATCTCATGACCATAGGTGAGGGTTGAGACTCAGATGGACTAGTAAATCAAAAGCTTCGCTCTCTGGCAAAGGTGAGGAAATAAAACAAAATGTTACCATAATTATGCAGATGACACACAAATTTACATAACCATATTACCAGGGACTTTGGTCCAATACAAGCTCTGACTGAGTGCATTGAACAGATCAATTATTGAATGTGTGACATTTTTCTCCAATTAAACAAAGGCAAAACTGAGTTAACTGTTCTTGGAGCCAAGAAGCAACAATTAAAAGTCAGTGCTCAGTTGACGGACCAAGCCAGAAATCTTCATTTAGTCATGGACTCAGACCTGAATCTCAATAGCCACATTAAGACAATTGCAAAGTCAGTCTATTATCACCTTAACAACATATCAAGGATAGAACGACTTGTGTCTCGGCCAGATTTGGGAAAAAAAAACACTGTCCATGCATTTATTTTCACTAGACTTGACTACCGTAATTGTCTTTGCTGATCTCCCTAAAAAAAACTGATCAGACAGCTGCAGCTGATTCAAAACGCTCCTGCTTGAGTTCTCACTAAGACCAAGAAACTGGATCACATCTGTCCAGTTCTGTTCTATCAGTTTCAAAATACTACTGTTGGTTTACAAAAGCACTGGATGGTTAAGGTCCGATTCAATTTGAAATCAAAAGCTGCATTTAAGTCTGCCTTGAGAGATGTGGGGGAGCATTTGATGACTGTGATAATGAGACCAATTTCTCAAGAATAAACATTTGTTTCCCAACCACAGAAGTGTAGATTTAAAAGTCATGATTCTCTACATGCAGGATACCTGATTACAGACTGAACTTTACAGTCTTTCACAGTTATGAGATACAAATCTGCATGTTTCCAAATTTCTTGTGATAACGTCAACACAGCAGCAAAAAGTGTGCTGCCTGAGGAAATCAGAGGAAGTAAAGGTTTGTCACTGAGGGTGATGAACATGATACTTTAATGATGGAACTCACTAACACTAGAAAAGAAGTTGGATGTCGACCTGGTGTTTAGACGAGGACACATATAAGCAATATATTATATTACATTATAAACCTATGGCAGTAAGGGTAAGGACATCCTTCTTATGTTGCTTCTTATGTTGTGTCATTTTAAAAAGACACACCTAGTGTCAACAGTAACAGCAACAAAACAAAAAACCTGACTTCATCAGTCTCTATTTCTTAGGCTAGATCTCCTTCTTTTCTATACTTTGACACAAGAAATCACATTTATTCAGGGAAATCATTAAGGGATGATGGCTTTTAGATATCATTTTGTTATCTGTTTCTCTGAACACTGAAGGTACAGACGACAACTTGATCAAGAAGTTAATAGAAGGACATCATCAAAACACACAGACAAATAGTGTTTTCAGATAGATCAATTAAACAAACTACAAAAAAGATGGAATAGGCTTTCCAAGACCTACCAAAGAATAACAAAATGATAATGTATTGGACACCAGGGACAGTGGTGACAGGGGCAGTTGAATTCCTCCAATAAGAAACAAGTTGGAGTGATTACATCACTCTGCACATATTCAGTGAGATTGTCTTCTTGTTTACAAAAAAAAGCAGCCACATTTAAAAATTCCAGGCAGGAGTCAAACCCAGGCCGCTGTGGCAACAGCCTTGTTCATGAGGCGCCAGCTCTACCACTAAAGGCCAAAACACACCGGCGCCAGACGACGTGCATCAAAACAGCCGCTCCCATTATTTTCTATTTACAAACCCACACCGGCGGCGGCTCGACGCGTGTCGACGTGCCGCACCGCGGCACTTTACGCTATTGTCCTATTTTTCCAGCGTTGCCACCCTTGAAAAAGCGCTATTTTGTACTTCCCAGCTCCCGCGGACTGGAGTGTGCAATAGACATCCGGTTGACGCCCCGCAGCGTGACGCTTTTTGTGTGTGTTGGGGGCGGCACTTGACTCGCGTCAATGATGCCACCGTCATATGACGCCGCCGGTGTGTTTTGGCCTTGAGCCACCAATGCCCCAAGGGTTTGCTCGTTTTTTTGGTGTTATTTGTTTTTGTTGGGTTTAGTTGTTTGTTTGTTTCTTTTTTTTCTTGGTTTGTTTTGGTGTTGTTGTTGTTTGTTTGTTTCTTTCTTTCTTTTTAGGTAAAATTTTAACTTTGGATACTGTGCTGAGATCAAATGTCAAGGAGTCCAAACAAGTCTCATCAGAATCAGCGTCTTTCAAGCTAAAAATAAAAATGATACACATTTGTTAAACTAACAGTCAGGGTAGTTTACAGTAGGTGAGGCTGGGGATACTGGGACAGTTTTAACGCCTTGTTACAACCATCTCTGAACCAAGTACCTCCATTTGTATTTAAAAAACCTGAAGACCTGAACAGACTTGATTACATGCTAAGTTAATGATGATCAGTTGCATGCTAAGTCAGTGGAAAAGCAGGCCGTAAGATAACAGGAACAAAAACAGCAAGAGGCAGAACATTTCCTGAGGATGGCACAGATGGAAAAAAAAATCTGTGCCAAAGATAATTATAACTGTGCTGATAATATTCAGTATAACAGCACGACCTCCAGTGTGATATTGCGTTTATACAACAATTCTACAAGCACCATTTATTAACGATAAAA